TGTCTATTGTTTCGTCACCTTCTTTTTTTCCTCTTTTTATTTTAAATAGTTTATCTGCCTTCTTATATACGCCATTCTTATTTGGGGGCTGCATATATCAGATTTTGCTTGTTGGCGCCAGATTCCCCATGTGATTGCCAGTGCACCAGTGCATCATTGTATCGATTGCCTTTTCACTTGTCGCAAAACCTGTTTAGGAAATTCATTGCTTGCATAGCAAACAAATCCAATACAGTATACGTAGTAAATAATTGTTAAGGTTAGTATACAGCTCTTGCTGAACGTTTTTTGTAGTATGTAATAACACTTCTGGCTTTAACTTTATTTTTGGCTTTTTTTATTTGCATTCCAATACACATTCTTTTTAAATATATTTAGACATAGGTTTATTTAAATGTGTATTTTCTTTTGGTAACACTAAGATATTATATACAAAGTTGAGCAGCGAAGAACATAGAACTCCAAAAAGAATCAAATTACTTAAATCTTTACAGATTAATCTTGCATTATAATACATACAAAATCTCACTTTCACATGTTATATTCATATGCTTATTCTTCATGATTTAGTAATTCATAGTAATGCATTGCTTTGTGATTTTACTAACAAACGAAAAGTAATATAATGAGAATATAACTGCATTAATCTTGTATATAAATTTCTAATACAGTATTAACGGATTGTATTGATTGATATTAAATATATTATATAAGAAAAAACTTTTATTTACTTCTACAAAATCATTGATAATTGGCGTAAGAATTTAATAGCATATGAAAAGAAACAAGAATAAAAAAAAATAAACATATACATGGGTAAAATAAGAATTGTGCAAATTTTTTGTAATATGAATCTATTTTAGTAGGCTTCAAATATTATTCTAGTTAATTATAGTTAATTATTTATACGTTCAACCTAAATATTAATTTTGTTAACTTGTCTTAATAAATTTATTTCTTGCTTAAATAATTGTCATTTATAATATGTTGTAAAATAATATTTTCTGAAAAGGAATGTAATTAATGGCTTGCATGTGAATTCTAAAGCCTTGCATGTGAATTCTAAAGTAAATTATTTATGAATTGCTAAACGCTTTATTATTTAAATACAATGCAAAAACAAAACTCATCTAATTATCAAAATGCCGATTTTACCTTCATTATTAAATAAGTATATCATAAAATCAAATATCAAATTAAATCAAAGCAATTACAAAACTTTTTGCAAATATTGCGTTGAAGTTTTGGGTGAAGAAGAAGGAAAAAAAAATTATTTTCCTAATAAAAAATATCGCATATTACAACATTTAAAAAAATGTAAAAATTTTATTGACAAAACGACTTCAGA